GCTGTGCTGTGATGACTCATTGACATGTTTGGCTTTTTATCTGTGGAAATATGCAATCATCAAGCAAGAAAAATGGCCTGTCAAAGTTTCAGTCAGTGTTATATGTCTTTTTTTATGTTTCATCTGATATCTTGGTCTTGTATTGACCAAGTACAGTATATTTGATAGTATGTTCAGAAAAAACTCATGGTAAATGGACTGGAGGAACTATATTTAATATATATATATATATATATTTTACAGGTTTCATGGATACTTTTGGTACTTTGTACAGACTGTATGTCAGTGTAGTTGTGTTCTCTTCCTCTGTGAGTTGTGCCTTAAGCCTCTCCTTATGTAAGTGGATGTAACACGGTGCTGAAATGAGCCTGTCTGGATTAGTTGACTCTGACTGTAACAGCGAGCTCCTCCTCTGACCACATGCTGCTTCTGGAAACAGGAGCGACATATGTAGCACCCTCTGTTGGTGGAAGCGTGGTGAGTGCATCCCTCTGCCAGAGACGCTCTTCAGGGTTTAGGGTGGATAATGTTCGACAGTAACTGTGACAGATATATTGCACTGCTCCTGTGTCTGTTGTTCTCTTTTGGTCTCTCTCCTCTGATGCTATCAGCGTTTGTCGGCGCGCACCCTTTCATCCGTCTTTTTCCTGCACCCTCGCTCCCTCTCTATTCCTCTCTCACCTGCTCCACAGCTCTGTGAGCTTCTCCTCTCTCCTCCTGTGCATCAATGTCATTTTCATGACAACGCCGAATTGAGCCAAAGGCATTGAGAAAGCACCCAGAAATATCTAGAAGAAGCTTCTGCTGTACATGTATCATGAGGGAGAGAGAATAATAAGTATCAACTCACAGTATATCAGACGTTTATTATGGTGCTTCCTCTGTTCAGTGAATCTTGTTACATAAACCTCTATAATATTCATAGTGTACGCACAGCTTTGAGAAACATGGCTGGTAGGAATTCATTCTTATTCTAAGGGGAGAACATTTATATTCATATCAATACAACACCATTTATGACCATTTTCGTTTCCAAACCTAACACATAGAGGAGAAAACAGAATACACAAACAACTTTCACACTTTGGTCTTCAAATAACATGAATGTTGACTGATGAGTTCAGCAGATCAGCACCATCCCAGGATGGAGCAGAAATCTAAATCAAGCACATGGAGAGGAAGCTTTTTCTCTTTTCGTCTGCTCTGACTTCATCAAACTTCCCCTCAGAGTTACCAACTGTTGACTAGAATTATAATAGTGCAAACTGTTAGTCAAATATAGCTAAAAAAACAACAACAAAAAGTCAGCAGAGTATCAGAAAAACACTGCCAGAGTCTGATATGTCCGACGGCATATCAGGGCCACTTAAAGGGAAAGAGTTTTTGAGAATTAAGTTGTAATATAATGAAAATGAGGTGGTCATTTTATGCTATGTGTCATTTAAACGATCAGTCTGTTGACTGTGTGAATATGAGGGATGATGATCATCTTGTTTTGTTATACATAAGTTTAGCTTACATAAATAATAAAAGTTATTTCAGAATTTAAGACTCTATTCTGAAGAAAGAACCACCTGGAGTTGGAGGAAATTACCTCTTTTGTGGAGGAAATGTTTGGTATTGGTCAAAGTATGTTTATAATTTTCTTGAACGTGATATCTTAGTTTAATAATATTTAACGGGAGCAAGTTATGGATGCCATAATGAAAATTGACACGATTTATCTTTAATTTTCTCAAAATTTCCTAGTGACCAAAGGTTACATCCTTGTGAATATAATATATAAGCACTGCCCATGTGGAATTTCATTACATCAGGCACAATTCACTTGGACTTGATGATAAACTGATTAACTTTCAATGGTCAAAGGTCATGTTGGCCTCAAAAAACATGTGTCTGGCCTCTTGAATGTGACGTCTCGAGTTCGCTTGAGGGCATTTATTTAACTTTTGATTAGTTGTCACTTGGACTCAAAGATAAAGTGATTATGTTTTAGTGGTCAAAGGTAAAGATCACAGTGACCTCATTTGAATCTGGGGGGAAAAAGTATGTGGAAATATATACACAGAAACTGCACTGGTTGGCAGAGTCATACAACCGCAGTGGTAGCTCTAGTTTTCTGTTTCTGGACATATAATGACTTTTCTATCATGAAATGAAGACTGTATAATTCATTATTCTTGTAATATAAAGACATTTTTTCTCATTTAATTACATTTTTCCCCATATTTCATTAAATTAGGACTTTATTCTCAAAATGTCCGAATAGGTTTTTCTTTAATAAGGCCCTGATACTCCGTTTTCGATTTATCCTGAATCCTGTTGCAGAAAGGCAGTGTAATTCACACTGGTCACAATGTGCATCACGTCCTCAGTGACATTCTCGAAGCTAAATCGTGTGCTAGACTCAAGAGGCCTGTGGGGCTGTATACTGTACATAGCGCTCTGGTGGGCTGAGTGACATGTATATAGTAGTGAGGCCCCATCAGTGCAGTCAGACCTGAATGAAAAAGGCTTGTTGCTTGAATCAGCAGAGCTGCCTGGAGACTTCATTCATAAAACCAGGCTTTTACAAGTGTGACACCACAGTATACAACAATGATTTACATGTGATCTGCTCATATTGCTCTAAAGAAACAGTAAAATACAGTGAAGGAACATTTTCTTTGTAAAATGGCAATGCCTGATGTATTGTAGCTCGGTAGAGCCCTTCTCCATCCATCTATCTGACTCAGAATAAGCACCTGAGTCTTCTCTCTCTGAGACACCATGTGCATATGAATTTCTTATGGCAGCAGGAGCCATGAGGAAGGTAGGAGAGGAGTCTTGGGGATGCTCAGCTCCGTTAGGTACGCAGTGTGTCTGCAGTGTATATACTGCTCTGTAATTTCTCTCTAACTCTCTTTGTCTCACTCTAAACACCTCTCAGCACCCACCCATATCTTTCAGGACTGTTAAAGACTGCAGTGTGACAAAGTGCAGTGTGTCAGCTTTTATGCACATGTGTGGGAAGCTTGCGTGTGCATTAGTAAAGCATATGTTAATCACTTTTCTTTGTGAGATTTTGAATTAGCCAGAAAAAAGGCTACAAATGAGGCCAACGGCACATCCAGAAGGAGCCAAATGAAACAATGAAACCAACATGATGTTTCTTAAGCTGCTTTCAGATATATGCAGAGACATCTGGATATTCTTAACATACATGGACAAGCTGTACGTAAGAATACAAATGTCCAAGTCCGAGTTTCTCATGTGAGTGAGAATGTATGTTGGTGCCACCCCTCACCTGAAGGTTGTTTTGGCACATTTGACTCGGACAATCTCCAGCTGCGATCCAGATATGTGAAGGGCAAAGTTTGGAAAATGTCCTGACCCGGTTGTTTGGACTGTATCCTTCAGAGTTCATGTCTAAAAACATCTCTATTAAGGAGCATTGGTGCCGACAGAGCAGCTTCATTAGCACTGATGCTACATCTCCATGTTCTGCTGGAGAGATGAGCGTCATTCTCCCCGAATATCTTTCATCATTTGGTGTTTTTAATGTTGTGGTGCAGAATCACTGTTTAACACATGGGTCCATAATCTCCCTCTGGTGTTCAACTGGATTCTCATCTGGTGACATGGAGCGATGCTTGCGAGCTACAGGCAGTCACCTCCAGCTGCGCTGCTCAAATCATGCCTCCACAATCCTCCACCATGCACACACCCGACTAATTTGGTCTCTTTAAGATGCAAAGATTTCCTATCTGTCCCTTTGCTTTTCAATGCCCTGCGTCAGTATCACTGTCTGTTGATTCAGCCCCTCCACCACCCCAGCGTCCACCTGCAGGCTCCGACAGAGGGTTAAAGATTTTTGCTCATCTCTCCCTTTTATACCGATGTAATCTTATCTGGGGAAGTTATCAGATCAGAGCCGAGACACCAAACTCAGCAGGAAGACATTTCAAATGTGAGTTGTCTGACTGAAATATTATTTACATATTTTTCATATTTATGTCAAATCTTATTTTTCAGGTTTTTCTTTTAATTTGTCTCTTAACTATATAAACATTGCTGTCAGTCTAAATCAAAGCAGTGTAAAGGACCTTGTGCAGATAACATGGTTAATAAACTAGAGTAGTGCTTAAAAAACCTGAACCCTATAGCACATAAACAAACAGCATTCAGAGAGGAAAGTGTTTTTGGGGGGATAAAGACGCTGGTCCGTTTTATTAGTGTGTTTTATTATTAATGTGCAATGCACTCTGAATAATTGTGCACTCAGCTTTTTTTTTTCCAAGTCCTCTGCTGTTCTGCTGCAGCGTTACCTCAGAGGAGAGCCTCATCCAAACTGAAGATGAGAGAGATTTTACCCCTCGGGCAAAAACTTAGAATGAAGAAGGCTTAGTTAAAAACCAGAGAGGGAGAAAAGCCTGCAAGACTCTGCAATGTCTTTTTGTTTTTTCTATTTTGTGCTACTCTGCTGCAGCATCACCTCAGAGCAGAATCTCTTTTAAAGTGAAGATGAGACAGATCCATATTGAAGATGAAAGAGATTTTTTAACTCTAAAACTGAGAATTATTAGATGCGAGTGGAAATATATTCATAAATATATTCTTAAAATGCAAGAGGGAGAGAATCCACAACGTTGTGCAAGAAAAAAAGACAGAATATAATCCTGGACAGTTTATTTGAAGACCTTTCACAGGACCAACAGTAACTTCATTCCACATGTTGGCTGCTGTTTTGTTTGGCCGGGACTGGTCTGCTCGTTTCACTGTTTTTCTTGTGTCTAGACACTGGTTAAGAGGAGTTATGAAAATATATTTGATGAATGCAACATAAACAGGATAATTATAAGGCCGGAGATTCGAAATGATCATTCTTCTTCTTTATCTCCCAAATCTCATTATCCTTGCCCTCATTTATGATCCTGCACTTTTCCTCCCACGCTCTTTCATCCACTATTCTCCCCAACTTCTCTTTTACTCATTCCTCCGCTCTCTGCCTCCCCCTGCAGGTGTCTGTCTGGTGCTGGGTTGTATGATCTATCCTGATGGCTGGGACAGCGACGAGGTGCGGCGGATGTGCGGGGAGCAGACGGACAAATACAGCCTGGGAGCCTGCTCGGTGCGCTGGGCCTACATTTTGTCCATCATGGGCATCCTGGATGCGCTCATCCTCTCTTTCCTGGCGTTCGTGCTGGGGAACCGGCAGGACGGACTCATGTCAGAAGAGCTTCTGGCTGAGAGCAAGGGTGAGGAGGATGTATCTGATCGAAATATAGATAAAGTGTGATATTTTATTGATCTCCTTTGTGAAAATGTCCCTCTTTACTTCTGCAACACACTGAAAGTCAGAGCCAGTTGTTGAGCATGTTGGGATTCAGCGTCTCACTTAAAAACTTTTCAATAGAACAGCTATACTTCTGACTTACTTCCAGAGAGGTTGTGATTTCAACTGTTTGTTTGTTTGTTGCTTTGAATGTTACGCAAAAACTTCTTAACCAATTTCCAGCAAGCGTGGTGGAGGGATGGGTTTGGGCCGAGGAAGAATTACATTTTGGTGCAGATGCATTTTAAGGGGCTGCATATTTTTTAAATATTGTCGTGGGTTATAAATCTCTGGGTCATTGATGTATAATTGATTGAATGCTCTCACTGTGTATCCTGATGATGCACCAGTCCGTACTTATTTTAGGCATCAACTGGTGCAAAATGCTTCCTAGCATTTTAACCAACACCAAGTGTGGGCTCATATTTCTTTAGTTCTTGCCTCCCTCCATTAGCTGCCTGTTAAATTTAATATTGGTTTTATCATTCTTTTACAGCTTAGCACAGTCTGCCCCCACAAAGCTACTACCCAAAGTCATAATATGTGATTTTCCAGCCAACACTTGATGGTATAGTTCCTATAAATTAAGGCAAGTGACTGTGGGTGACCATCAGGGCCAACAGTTTCAAACTTGACAGCACCTGTTTTTAAATCATTGCTTAAAATGCATTTATTTAGAGGGAGGTCTTTTAGTGCCTGATTTTCAACTTGTTTTAATGGATGTTCATTTATATATATTTATTTGTTTGTCTAGTTTTTTTCTGTGCTGTTTCATTCCCATGAATGTTTTAACCTTAGATATGTACTCTATAAAAAGAGTGTATTATTATTACTATTATTGTTGTTGTTATTGTTATTTTTATCATTTAAATTACAGCTCAATCATTTTTTAACGATTAGCTCATCCCTGATGCCATCTACTGGTGACTGTTTGCAGCACAATCGGCCTCTGTGAGGGTTGCACATATCTGACAATGTGTGAACATGGAAGTCTATTAATAGCTTGACCTTGAGAACCATGTTGTGCTCTTTAATATTTTTCTCTGGGGTTGTGCTTTTTTTCACAGAGGGAGGCAACGCCTAAACAAATCAACATCGTAAGTAAGAACAAAACATCCATCTTGACACCCTTCTTCCCTCAAACCACATCCCTCCATCCGTGAATGTTAGGGGATAAGGTTTTACATGTATGTTTTTTCTAAAAAGTAACTAGTAACCATAGCTGACGAATGAATTCAGTGGACTGCATGAAATGGAAATAAAACAGTCAATAGTGACTTTGCACTTCTACTTTCTCTGTCGTTCTCTCAGGTTCCTGAATCTCCATGTTTGTTATCATTAAGTCCCTCAACATCATATAAAGTGTGGAGGCAGTCCAGGTCTGTGGAGGAGAGGAATACCGTTGAACCAGCCAGCCTGCCTTTCACATCTACCTGCCAAATAAAAGAACCCTGTGTAACCCCACCCTGGAAGTCCATCACAGTCCCTTTACGTCAGTCCCAGCACTTAGATGGAGCCCAGCGCTCTCTTATGTCATTGTGTCTATACGGAGCTAACCCATGCACAACATCACATAGACCATGGCGGGGGCAGAGACTGTTATTCTGTTGAGATGTGTATGGATGACCCACCACCTACCTGGGAAGGCACAGGGTCGACACCTGCAGTACGAGCACAGACACACACATGCATACACATGTGCCGCCTCACTCATGACCACAACAATACAATACATTCAAACAATACATGAACAAATTGTAATGACAAATATTAGACTATGTTAACACTTAGCTGTGTGTATCAACGTCCAAACGTGTTTCCTGTTTTATTTGTGAAAAGAAGAAACCGCTCAGTTTCAGAAAACATTGTGTTGCTGTAAATCTATTGTGTTCCATGTGTACGGTTTGACAATGGAGTGAACGTTTTATTTTCTTCTTTTGCTTCTTTGTTCCCCCTTATTTACTGGAAAAAAAAGATATTATAAACTGTTTTATAAGATTATACCCCAAAAGAGCCAAAAAATGTATTTGCAAAGTATGTACAGTAAATATTAAAAGATGCTCTAGGAATTTTAACAAAAATCCATTCAACGCCCTGCTAGCTACCTTTGCACAACGCTTCAGTTTAAGAAAAGAAATATTTTATAGTCTGTACACTGTGATGGAGGCTTTTGGGACTCTGCTACAGGACTCGCAGCTGCTGTGTGAGTTTGTGTGTGTGTTTGTGTGTGTGTGTGTGTGTGTGTGTGTGTGTGTGTGTGTGTGTGTGAGTGAGTGCATGCACTTATGTGAGTTTCTGCGTGAATGTGTTGCGTGCAGTCATTTGTAGGCTGGTGGACCGGCCTCGCACACAGTCGTCCTGTTGCGTAGCTAAATATGTCTCCGTCTTTCTCACTTTCTGATTCTCTCTCCTCTTTGCTTTGTTTTGTTGGGACATACAGGGTAACACAGCAGAGTTATTGAGTGTTGTGTACAGTGACTGGCGTGTCGGAGGATTCAACTCCAGTGACAAAGGGTTAGTATGAGGCCTGTCCCAGCCTCACCTGTGGATATTATGTAAATAGATATTCTATAGATACCAAACAATTAGGAAACAAGGAGATAAACCTACAACAATTAAAGAGATTCCTTTAAGAATATATTAACACTTAATAAAGGTTTTCACTGTAAAACACTGCTGTGATGTTTGTTCATTTGTTAAGGGACGGGGGTGCAGTTGTCATGTCATCTGTGGTCTGAGAACAAGGACGTACAATATCAGAGACAGATAAACTTCTGGGTCAACCTGCAGTATTCTGAGGCTGCTGTCTTAGACAGCAGATATCTCAATCAATCAATCAATCAATCAATCAATCAATAAAGCTTTGTATGGCCTATTTTCTGAAATCACAATTTGTCTCAAAGGGCTTAACAAGGTTAACATAACATAACTTAACATAATGGAAAGGTGTGTCAATGTTTTAAGTATTTATACATAAGAAAATGTTTGATAGAGATGAGAGCAGCAATGACAATTAAAATGGAGGAGTTATTGCTAGTGATGGTGGAATATGTGAGTAGACATGTTCTATATCTGAGCAATCTTGTAATTATTCTCCACGATCAGCTGCCTCCACGATCGTGATCCACAATCCACACATTACTTGTATGAACCAAGACGCCATCTTCTGTTAGTTACTAGTTCCTTATATCACACGAGTCGAAAGCTTCTCCACACGAAACACAAACAGTGATACTTTTCACTGGTGTTTTAGATCCAGATGGCTTTTAACAGCCATCACTATATGAATGCAGAGAAATTATATATATAAGCAGATAGATAGTAAGCATTTCAGACAATGTGTTCCACCTCTTTCACTCTCTGACTGTTATCCTGCGAGCAGCCAAATTCTGCTCAATGTTACTGGTCAAACTTAAGAACTGAAACCAGAAGGTGTCCTGCCCCAGATGATCATTCATATTCACATGCATAATTAAAATATAAGTACCTGTATATCTGCCATAATTGTGAATATTGAGATATTCAGAATGAAGCATTGATCAACCTTTTCTGAAGGGTTCATACATTCTATTACATATGGAAAATTCACCAGAACAATCCCGGCTCAAGCTCTACTGTTAAATAAAGTATTCAACCATATAACAGAGTGGTCATCTATGGATTGACTTTGGATCTGTTCAATATCTGATGGAGACCACATTACATGGGTGAAAGGTCCAGGAAAAGCTTGTTTATTGTACTTGAGTTGGAAATGTTTTATGGGCCTGTAATTTCCAAAGGGGGGAAAAAGTAAACTCTCATGAGATGGTAAGGTTTTGGTGACCGGATGTTTTTACTGATCACTGAACAATGTGCAGAGTAATAAAAATACATATGTTACACACGAGACCAACAATTGCTCAAGGTGCATTTGAGGGAAAAAAGCTGAACGTATTAAAGTATTAGAGAGACAGTTTTCTTTATTGTTTGATGAGGGATTTTTTTCTTATGAAAGACTAGTCACTGGCTGTTGTTACATTTGAGATTTAAATAAATATATATAGTTGGTTAGATATGTGAAAATTCCCTTCAAACTTTCATTATTTCTCTCAGGCCCCTTAACTCTGACTTTCTGATTCCAAGTAACATTAAGAGAGTTGATAAAATTGCTGTGAGATTAGGAGATTGACCTTTTACTCAAAAGAGAAGTCACAATAGGCTTTTAATCCAAGTCACATGTTTCAACCAATACAGAGAAAGGAATGTCACAGTGAGGGAATTACAATCATACCACTTTTAACCACTATTGTTTTTATCTGGTGCTTTATGACAAAATGGCAACAATCAGTGTCTGTGTGGTTCAGATGAACCTGTGATCTGGAGATTAAACATCGTTTCATCCTTATTCAAAGCAATCAGTACTGTCAGCCACTTTCAGCACTCAGATCACTGATTAGTTGTGTGTGTGGTTCATTGTCCTCATGGGAGTCGTCTCAGTTCTCCACAGAGTGGGCGCAGGGGTTTGTATAATTGCATTTCACTGTTTCTCTATAAGTGAGTGCATTCAAATGTCGCAGTGCCTCATTAGCAGGGTTATTGTTGTTCACTGTTGTCCTTTATTTCCCCCGGGAACAATAAAGTATCAATCAATCAATATTGATTTCCTGGAATAAGTTTGTCACCTCTGGATTTATTCTGGATTTGTAAAGTCAGACTCTTGAGGTTAAACTCATGACAGGATGAGGAGAAATGAATGATACAAACACCTGGGTACATTTAGAGGAAGAAGTTGAACTCTGGCTCAGACAATGAATATTCCAGCATGTGTTCACATTCACATAGTCCAAAGAGATTCAATCAGGCAGAATAACAGAAACCATCAGTCGGGATGGACCATGGATGTGTAGGATGCTTTCAGTGACTCACTGAATTAAAATGGTACTAATGATATCTAGAAACTCTTTTTCCACCGGTCAAAAAATCCACTAACACCTGCTAACATCTGTTTTTTGTCTGCAGTTGGAATGGATACAATCAGCATTCACAACCTTGTTAGGAGAAATACTTTTAATTGGCTCCGACAGAAACATGACAATAGTGTGAACACGATACATAAATAAACGAATAAACAAACAAATGTGGAAGTAAATGAAGATACGAATATAGAGATTAATGAATAAATAAATACAATTTTAATTAAAGTACTATTTTTATTTATTTGTTCATTTATCTATTTAAATTATTGTCATGTTTTGTCATTCACAGTTAAGCACAATTCATGGTTCTGCGTCGCAGCTACGCAGCATCCGTCACATAGATGTGTACCCTACCCTGACGTGCACCTCCCCAACAATGTAACTACACATCGAGGCGACGCAGACCACAAGAGCTGTGCTTAATTGAGGGAAAGGAACGAACACAGGCGATGTCTTTCTTTTCGTTGTTGCAGTTCTTTAAGAAAAAGTAACTGCTGTTCAACATCTAGAGAGATGTCAGAGAGTTGTAAATAAGCGAACCAGAAGCCAGAAGACACTCAACACCAACATAGAAACTCTATCGCCACTAGCGATTTGGTGTAATTGACTTAAAGGTCCAGTGTGTAAGATTTAGGTGAAAGGGAACTATTGGCAGAAATGTAATGTAGAATAATCCTCATGAAGTTTTCACTAGTTCATTTCATCTAAATTGTATGAATTGTAGTTTTGTTTACCCCATAGGTCCTTTATATGTAATACTTAATATTTACATCGAGGGGGTCCTCTCTACGGAGGCCACCATGTTTTTTACATTAGTCCAGACTGGACAACCTCAACACCTTTTGAGTTTTTATGAAAGCTGAAGCTACCACAGGTTCTTTTTCATGTTTGTAAGGAGAGGGTGAGGTGAGGGGTGTTCAGATGCAACATGCAACGTCAACACTAGATATCACTACATTCTACGCACTGAACCTTTAAACACAGCTATGCACGCTGGGTCCACCTGCAGCGTCGCTTCAACTCAGAAACCAGAATCAGCCTTCTCGCTAATAAAAACACTCACACTGTCTCTTTAAGACTTGGACGATGGGCGGAGAGAGCAGGATTCAAACGTGTAGCCCCGCCCCCTCCGTTTCCTGTCGCGGAGACAGGAACCAAACTTCAGTCCAAACAAAATGGGGGCTTCGCTGGACACCCCGACGAGCTGTCCCCTATGCAACGAGCTGACCCGGGACCCCGTCACCCTTAAGTGCAACCACCGCTTCTGCCGGCGGTGCATCGGGGACCTGTGGAGCGTCACACCGGACGGGCCGTACCATTGTCCGGAGTGGAGGTGTAAGACCGTGTACCCCACTCTGCCGTTCGACCGCAGCCTGGTGTCCTCTCCGAGTCGATGGGCTGCAGGTACGATCTGGAGCCAGGATGTCAGTGAACGTGTGACTGTAACCTCAGCTCGTTCAAACAGCCCCACAGGGAGCTGCCAACAGGCTAATGTTTCACTAGAGCTAGCTCACGTTACTCTGTAGCTACTTCCTGACAAATAGCTGGCTGGATTTCACTTTACACTTAAAGTTACGACATCCATTTTGAGTAAAAGTAGTTTCAGCAAATTGTAATAAAGACAGTGCCCCAGTGACTGATGATGTTATTATTATATGTTATTTTATAGCACATTCATTAATCTCAGTTTGCCTCAAGGGGCTTAACAATCGACATCCTCTTTTCTTAACCCCCAACAAGAGAATTATCAGAGGCGCTAATCTAAAAGTCAGTATGAGGCTGAAGTTTGTGCAAACAGTCAGAGAGACTCAAGGTGTGACTCGTTGTTTATGGCTGTATGTTTTCAAGTATGATTTGTGTCCAGGCATCAATCACCATGATGACTTTTAAGACTGTTTCCAGTCTATGTAATTCGATTTTGAGTGTTTATGAATGAAGCATCAGGGTTATTTATTTTGAATTATGTCTCAACCTTAATATTTATAAGTTATTGTCATGCTGAATCTTTAAAATCCATTATAGTTTTAATACGTCGTAACTCTAATGGTTCCACCACTG